TGAGTTAGTCTCTAAATGCCCAAAAATATTCACCTAAATCTGATGTCACGTGACACGACAGGTTTTGAGTTTTCTCTCTTCTTTCCTGCAATGTAGAAGGGATCCTTCTTCAGGCACCCACATCACTGGCATGGACAATCACTTAAAGACTAAATTGGCTAATGATGTCGGGAAGAGGGGAGCGGGCTTTTGCTGCACTAGATCCACCACTCATGGCTCCTGGAAACAGCACCAGTGAGGTACACGCATTGCAGACTTAGAAGAGCATACCAGACATTATTCATGTTTTACCAGTGGGTGAATAGGTTATAGAGGTAGAAGGGAGGGGTGCACTTTCTACTGGGTTGTAAAACACCAGAAAGGGTACGTACTTTTATGAAGCAATTCCAAGGCATTTTTTTAACATGCTAAAATGTCTGGCTACCATATTTTAATAACATCACAGTGCTAATGTTATATTATGGAAAAAGTCATTAGCATGTGTTTTAACATGCAATTCAGTTAACTTGGGTTCAAAACTTTAGAACAAGCAAACCAATATGGGTAGATTGTGCAATAAATCACAGATCTAAACAAAACAATGTTTCGTCAGTTCAAATAAACAGAGGCAGTGAGCCTTTAAGAAGTGAATACACCTCAAGATGCTTTATTGTTCTGCATTACTCAGTAAACTTGTCCTCTAATGTTCTCACTGAATAAATGTTTACTTTCTATATCCTTCATTAGGTATAAAACATTCTGCATGGGATAAGATTATCAAACAAACCAACCTGCTTTCAACAGAGATCAATTCTAACACTAAGAGTCTTAAAAAAGGCATGTGTTTATGTTCACACAAGTGCTGAATGTACTACTGCAATATTGAACACTGGAGTTTCTACAGTATTCCCTATAAAATTACAGGTCTACAAAAAAATCATTGTATGAATTCCAGTTTCCTCTAATATGGGAGTCTGAGAAACAGGCCCTGAATGTGCCCCAGTGTCCTCTAATACTGGGAATCAGAGAAAGAGGCCCTGAATGTGCCCCAGTGCCCTCTAATATGGGAGTCTTATAAACAGGTTCTGAATGCACTCCAGGGTCCTCTAATACTAGCAGTCTGAGCAACAGGCCCCTAATGTGCTCCGGTGTCCTCTAATACTGGGAGTCTGATAAAAAGGCCCTGAATGTGCTTCAGTGTCCTCTAATATGGGAGTCTGAGAAACAGACCTTGAATGTACTCCAGTTTTTCCTAATACTGGGAGTCTGAAATAGAGGCACTAAATGCGCTCCAGTGTTCTCTAATACTGGGAGTCCTATAAACTAGCGCTGAATGCACTCCAATGCCCTGTTACATCGGGAGTCTGAGATGCAGGTCCTAATTATGCTCCAGTGTCCTTTAACAGGCTCAAGTGTCCTCTAATACGGAAATTCTAAGGAACAGATCTTAAATGCGCTTCAGT